AGCAACGAAAGCTAGGCTTCTGGGTCGAAGAGCTAATGACGATGGGAAGGAAACGCTTCAGTACATGGCATGTTGCAAAAACCAGTGATGGCGAGCACGTCACTTTCCTTGGTGAGATGGCAGATGTAGCCTATGCGCCACAGAATGGTTCCCAAGGAACACAACCAGGGACACCGATGATCCGCTGGTTCCATCCTTCGTGAACTGTTTCAAAGAATTAATCTCCTGCTTTCTGAGAGTCTACTGCTTTGAATGCAAGTTGCCAGAAGTTAAGGAAAAACTGTGGCCCCACGAAAAGTTCCACTAGCTGAAGGGTCATCAAAGTACGGCTGATTTTCGAGGCGGGAACACCTGTGGGAAAAATCAAAATTCAGGATCAAAAAACCTTCAGAGTAAATTCACAACCTCAGTTTTCGACCAGAGTAAAGGAGATGTATGTATGCAGGTGTGCTAAGCCTCACTAGTGAATTGTGATATCTAGCTCAGAGCAGATCAACGGCTTAGAACTCTGACATGTATTAGTCATAGTTACTTTTTCGTCGGAGGCGTCAGCTGAGTCCCACAGACTGCAAGTCATTTAGTGCGAAGAAACTTTATCAGTATATTTTATTCGAGTTCACTCGCTCTTTGAACTACCTACAAAAGTCATCTACACAATCTCATCTACTCTTGCTTCTTCTGTCCCGGCTGCCATGCTTGAATTTTCGTACGAGTTGTCGAGTAGGGGACGTACTTCTTGTCTCTAGAATAATAATATAGAAATTTGACTGGAATTAAGACCAGTTTTGAACAAGAAGGTGCATCTGAGTGTTCAAGTACTCACTGTCTTCACCATCACTACAGTCACTCTACCTTAACACATTGACGACCGCGTGATACGCATTCCAATGCGCGCTTTGTAGGCCGCGTGGGACCGCGCGAATTGTATACGAATCACGATGAACAAATCCATATCTTTCACTAGTGCATGATTTATTAGTTTCTCCTATTCATTCTATAGTCCAGTCCTTAGTATACTCGTACAGCGCGTGGTCCATGGAATAGTTCAGTACACAATAGTTTAGCAAAGACTTTTTGGGGAAACATCATCCTTTGCTTGGATTGTTTTGCTCCTTTACTCTGGATTGGTTTGCTGATAACTTTCTGCCAACAAATACAGACAATTACAATATTGATAATGATGAAAAAATATTAGGTGAAGGATTCTGAATCCTATAGAAAGCGTATTTTTATGAATTGTTGGTTACAGACTATTTCCTGGCCCTGGTGCAAAGAGAGTTGGCCAGCCCAGATTTTTCCGTGGTAAATAATTGACTTACTTCTTAACTGCTCTAAAAACTAGGTTTTTCGATCCAATCTCCTAAAAAAGCGCTTCGTGGGACGGCCTGAAGTGTATGCATGCCGCGCTTGTGCCGTTCAAGAAAGCGCGCCGGTCCCACGTGGCCGAAAAGTAAAAACCCGCGCGGTCGTCAACGTGTTAAAAATACTTCATGCGCTGATCGTACGGGCAGATTCACTAGCGCCAAGACGCTGTCCTCACTGATGGGCTCATTCTCCTTGTCATTTAAAAAGTTTCCCAACATCAAGAAGCGCACCTGTCTAGTGGTAAGTAACTTTGTCCATACGATCAGCACGGAGTGTGCCTTTAAGCCAATGCAAGGAAACTTACTGGAAAATGGACAGGTTTTCTTCATGTTGCATCACCCATCTCTCGTTTTTTGGAGGGTTCTGAGTGGGCGTGTCATCGCCTATGTGATGAAGCCAGCGATGCCTTAAATGTCAAAGTGATGACCACTAGAGTTCTTGCAGCAATCAACCTTCAAATGTAAGTTCTAGCGCTAACGCTGCTTACGTAGCACCATGCAAGGTCATTTTCATCTTCTTCTCTTGGTGGATATACGCTCATACAAACAAGAAACGGCTTCTTCATCGGCTAAGACTACAAAATGTGCAGGTTCAAGAACATTGCACTTGGGGATAGCGTGTCAAGCATCTGTCAAACTCGATAGCAGCATGCGATACTCACCTACACCCCCGTGGAAAAAATGAAACACGACTTTCTTGTGGAGACCAAACCCACGATTTCAAAAAGGGCATAGGGTTCACCTACAATCCTACACAGAGGAGGAATATGACAAAAGGCAAACCCGCTTAGCATAGGTTCACCCAGTCATCTTTATGTACGGCTCATGGAATTAAGCGAGGGGAGTAGTCGCCAAGTTTCACTCAATGTTTCAATCGCCTTGGTAGGTGTCGTGTTTAGCTACAACCCCGCCCTCTCCGATCTATCCTCTCGACGAGATTTTCTAGGCACTTGGAAGTAACCGGGGGGGGGGGAGGATCAAATTTCACGACGAATCGGTACAAGCGGCATCGTCAGGGGAATCGTACACAGTGAACAATTTCCACACTACTTTGTTTTGACCAAACCTGTCGTAATCAACAATCAACAATGAATTTGATTCAGAAACAGCAAAAATGATACGGATTAGCTTACCACTCTGGAGGAACTTGTGATGCATCGTAATCGAGCCATACCTGGAACATCACAATTCGTCCTCAACCTTGGCAGTAGTGGTGAACCAAACTAAAAACTTACCTTTTCCGGGTATTCAACCCATCTATTGCGAGGCATGAAATACGAATTGTCTTCGTAATATTTATTGCCGAACTTGTCTTCTCCGACTAGAGTACCTACTCGCGTCACATCCATTCTAAAAAAACTCAAACCATCTATGAGCTGCAAAACAGAAGCAAATAATTAATTATGATTTGCTCCAATTCAAGATTTTTTAATTGAATATACCGTGTCCACATTAAATCGGCCACTTTCGGAACCAAATAAGCTGATTCTCAGGAAAAAGAAACAGGACACGTTTCGCAAGTTGGGAACTTCCAGCGAGGGGAGGGCCCGTATCTGCCTTTGAAAAAAAAGTTTTCGGTTGTTGACTTTCCGTGATTTTTCCCGTTTTGACGTGCGCTATACATGTATCGCTTCCTTCCCCCTCCCTCTCTCCCGCGACGACAGACTTTTTGGGGAAAAAGCAGAAAATTTTCGGCAGGAAACAATGAAAATTTTTCGGAAAAAAAACTGGAAAAATGGTATGAAGTCGAGAAAATTGTTTAAGGTGGCAGGAAGGATGAGTATGGTGGAATGGAGATGGGATCGTACCAAAATTCAAAGGACTTGTATTTTACCAGAAAATTCCCCCAACGACAGGATCTTCTCTGCTCTTCCATCAAACTGAATTCTCAGAATGAGCTGAACACGGTTTCAATCAAACTGAAAGCATCCCAGTTCTATTGACTCGCACATCCCACCCACTTGATTTGGAAGGATCCAAAAATCCAGACCCCTGCCGCCTCCCCATTTTGCCTATATCCCCACAAGAAAATCTAGGCAACCCCTACCTCTCCCTTCCGGACAACTCGCTGTAGGTTGCTGCTTTGCTGACGTATTATTGTGCGTGTGTGAGATCGTTGTTTGGGTAATTCAAAGACCTAAAGAAGGGCTTAAGCCCGAAACGATGTCAATAAATTTTCGGAAGAAAAGGAAGAGCTTCTCACTCCCATACATGTGAACAAGACTCAATGCAATGAAGCTCAGGGAACCATCAATACTATCTGATCCAAAAATCGTCAAATTTGGTTTGAAAAGCGCCCCACTTATTTTGAAAAGTGACAATTTAGAAATAAAATAAATTGCTGATATACTTCCGCCTTGTAAACACTAAAGATCCCATTTTCCAAAAACAAAACAAACTCACAGATATCGTTTCTTTAGAGCAGCACGAACTCCTCCCATCTGTTTAATTATTCTTCCAAGCTTCTGTAACTTCTCAATACCCAAATATTCTTTCAGGCCCATCTGAACAAGCAACAAGACTACAACAAAATATTCGCATAGTAAAAACCTAGGGCAGTTGAAAATGACTTCCAAAATTGGTAAATATATGGAAAATATACCGAAGGAAAATGAGCAAAAAAATAACACTAAACACCAAATGATTTATTCCATTAAAATCCTTATAATGACAAATCCGAACGATCACATGAGCAGCCAATTAATGCAACCAAAATATTTAACACCGCGTCGTTTACAGTTTCAACAATTACTAAGAAAGGAGACTATGTTGAAACTTAAATAAAGTCAAAAACCGGTGCAAGATTACAAGCGATCACTTGGGTAACGAAGAAGGTAAGTAACGCTTCACCCCGTCAACGAGTTTATGAACACAGCTTGACCACCACAACGGCATTGATAAGTCCAGCATCTTTAAGGTCGACAGATTCATCATCGATTACCTCAAAAGTTACGTATAGAAATAACGTTACTAGAACTACTGCAACTTTAGTAAAGGAACAACGGAAACAACCGCAGTTTCGAATGTTCGAGAAACAATGGGCATCGACCTTCTCTTAATCTTGACACTGATGTACCTTCAAGCGAGTGTATAGATTAAGCCCTCTAAGATGTTTATAATTTATTTGGTCAACGTTTCGGCTTCATCACCCTCGTCAGGCCAGAAAGGGTCCAAAACAAATGAGATCCGTCTCAAACCACTGCACAAACTTAAGGTTATTTCGAGATTCAAGTGAGCCACGTGAGGTAATGATTCATAAGGGTGAGTAGGATTACCTTGGTCTCAACCGCGATGACGTGAGATACCTTTAGGCGATTTACTAGGATCTCTAAATAGTCTTAAGTTTTAGTGGAGTCTTTTAAGGTGACCAATCCCACTTGTTTTGGACTCACTCAGGCTCTAACGAAGGTGATAAAGCCGAAACGTTCGCCAAATAAATCATAAAAATATTTTACGCTCAACCATATGCTCGCTTTTACCGCAGAGATCCTGCGAAAGAGAAAAAAGAACTGTAAGAAGTTCCATAGTGAATGCAACATACCCTATTCGGAAACGTTGTCATAAGTTGAAAAGCTGTAGCAGCCATGTCTGGATAGGCACTAAACAGTCCACTTCAACTAGGAAACCTTGGCTGAGAACGAAAATCTACAAGTATTCAAACTCACGTGACCAGGAAGTTTCTAATCGCCCCAACTGTATGCGCCTGATTGAATTTCCCGCTAACACGTTGCCCGTTTGGGAGACGAATTTGCACCTAAAGTCGAATTATGAAGGGGGGAAAAATCCAGAAGATGATTAGTAGAGGAAATCCGGAACACATATGACGAATGTTCTGGCATTCCAGACCGTGCTCATTCTTCGTGCACTCTTTCTATGAGGCAGAGTATACGGTTATGGGGCTGCTGTCAACTCAAAATTCTCTCGCTATGGAAGATCAGACGACTGACCACTTTTCAGGGGGCAGGTGCCTGTTTTGTAGAATGCGTAGCAAGATAATGGTTGCGGATAAACGACGCGCATATCAACGAATTAGTGCCCCTCGCATGACAAGTAAACCAAAGGATTTCCCCTGTATGATATTGTAAAGTGCGATCGACAGGGCACTCTCGATCGACGGGACACAATGCGAGGAATACGCTCAACAACATAAACTAACTTACACGTCGCTGTAACGCCCACTGGCGCTCTTGGACGATTGTCTTCCACCTGCCAAAGATGATAGCGAAAACGCAGTCAGGCGACGTTAAAGCACCCCATTTGCGTTAGATTGGGGAATTGGGGAATGAAAATAGACATAAGATTGCGGTTATACGCAATCAGACGGCTACCTAAGGTCTTTAAATGTCAGCTCAAGGAAGAACACTTGTTGAAACAACAACACAAGAAATGTAGTTGAGGAGGGGAAAGTGGATAAACTCAGCTTTGGCTCAATCCCTCCAATTGAGCTGATTTCCTGCTCTTCTCTGCGCTCTGTTGTCTGCATTGTATGCAGAGCACGGCATAAGTTGGGGATCCCTAGCGAAGGGGCTTGTATTCAGTCGCTGGGGGAGGGGGCGTATTTGCCTATGAGAGAATGTTCTCGAATGAAGACTTTTCCTTTTTTTCCGTTTTCAAGTGCTACATATCACCATTGCAGCCCCTCTCGCTCAAGGACAGTTTCTCGGGGGTTCTCGAATGAAGACTTTTTCTTTTTTTCCGTTTTCAAGTGCTACATATCACCACCGCAGCCCCTCTAGCTCAAGGACAGTTTCTCGGGGGTAAACTGGGAGTTTTCGATGGGAAGTTGGGAAAATTCAGCACGATGGTAAGCAGCATGGAGATGGAGCAAAAGGGACGTTCGTACAAGAAGAATCAATTTTGAAGAGGGGGAGGGTCGCATTTAGCAGAATTTTTCTCCGATGGCAGGACTGCTCTGATTGTATGACCACTGTGGCTTCATAGCTGCCAACTTTTCATAAAATACAGCTTACACGACCCAAAGCCGCTCGCTCCCCTGAAAAAAAGCCCATCCATTCTCTGAGCTACTACATGTCGTGCAAGTCTCGCGCTTTTCCCCAATGAACGCAGTCAAAAAAGGATGTAGAAGACCGCGATCAATGAACAAAACAACTTGTTACCCAAAACTATTGCTCTTAAAGATACCTGAGTAACAGGAGAATTCTCATCTACATTCAATTCCGCTTGTGCTTTCGCAATGTTGTCCACAGAATCTGAACAGAACATGATTAAATCTCCAAGCGGGAAGGATAAAAGTACAACTGGGAGCCTACGGACCTGCGCTCGCAGAAGAAGATGGTGCTGGTGCGGACGACACAATTTGCGGTACTACGGCTCCAAGACGTGCTCCTGCTCCCTTCAAATGAGCAAGAAGACTACGAGAAACGGGCGCTCAGTGAAAAATAAACGAGGAAGATAAACATGTAATAAACAATTACCATATACAATCTTTCTTGCTGGCGATCCTGGGGCTTGTCATGTAGCTGGCTTTGGCGTGGCGCAAACCGATTCTCCACCGATTTTGGAGCGCGCAAACAAAAGCATTGGTGCAAAAACGGCCGACGCCTCGCCAAACCAGCCGCCTCGCATGCCTTGGCATCCGCTAACTAACAAGACAGATACCATTTGTTTCGGTAAGCTTTTATGTATCATAACATTCAGGATTCCCTCGCGTATGAGGACAGCTGGAAGTCTACCAATGTAGAATAGTCTACCAACTGTTTAATTAGAAATCATATAATATCCAACAGGAAAGAAAAACAGAAAACTTTTTCAGCTAGCGTTGATCCCACTCTGTCACGGATCCGCAAACAGAAGAAAAGATCTCACAGATTTTTTTTCCGAAATAGCTGGACTTTACGGTCGTAGGTACTCATTAAAGCCGTAAATTGTACCACACTTCAACTAGTGGTGCTGACTTTTTACTTCGGCTGACTCTATTTATGCTAATGTTAACAAGCTGCCAACTCTCTTTATGTTAATTATTTCTTTGAAAAAAATCACCTGGAATGGCTTCAACTTCGGGGGCTCGTAGGGTCCTGTGCGTTTTTGCATACGCAAGTCGATACGTCGGCGAGGATGAGCTGCCAGCAGTTCTGCTGGTACACGGCTAAAAAAAGGTTAAAAAGCTTGAGCTCGATGAACAGTCTTTTTGAAAATGAAGGTGAAAGGAGTCAATCCGCGGTAGAAAAAACCTTGCGCAGTGAGAAAGTACAACCTTGTCAATAAGAAATGTAAACGTTTCCAAACAAAGACCAGTAATAAAAATGAGGAAAAAAACCGATTTGTTCAAGGAAATAGATGGGGAAAGGGGAAAGATAAGTTCACTCCTAGAGCACTAAGTGAAGAGCAGTGAAAGCTCACCCCTGCATTATGCTCTGAAGGAACTGTTGACTCTCTGGATCTTCGAAAGAGCGTAATGGTCCGTCATCAATGGAGAAACCATTTTCCCACATGAACAGCTCAACAACAACCTGCAAAGATGTTTCACAGGAATTAAAGACATACAAAGCAGAGTAGACTTACCTCCTCATGCTCGCCAGTGTCACTTTCTCCGCTACTGCCATCATCCACAGGGTACTCTCCTAAGCGTACTCCACCACCTCCAGTACGACCATGCCGAGGCTAAATATGCTACTTGTAAGCGAAATCACAGTAATCCTACAACGAAAATGGAAAGGCACAATATATGAAAGAAAGCAAACCGTAGAGAAATCAATTACATTGTGAGCGTTCAGGCGAACACCTACCCTCGGCGAAAGGTCACTTGAATTGAGTGCCTCAGCTCCATGTTGTCTGGCTGCATCAAAGACACGTTCAGCTATGCTAGCACGTCCAGGTCTCTCGGGGCCTAGCACTTGCTGTCCACTGAAAACCAGTCCAATTTATAAAGAAAGGGTTAGTTTAACCGCTTGCTGTAACGGCCTTTCTTGTCGCATCACAAATCGAAAATCACAGGTCAAATAGAAGAAACTACAGAATTTTCGGCGACTGCATGTTCATACTTCTTATAGCGAGTGTTTCGCATTAACATTGCGGAGCTAGTTCTCGGAGGTAGAAAATGTATGTTTTTAAGATACAAAAGCGGAAGCTTATATGGAACCAGGTAATGCAAATACAAGTTCTGATAATGGGTGAGCTGGATAGGGTCACCGCTGAAATCCGCACAAAGAAGAAAAATTCATTCATGACCACTCGGTTCGCTTTGTGGACAACTCATGTCATCCATCATGAAGACTTTTTCTGATAGTTGAAACTGAAGAGAAGCTGCTGTTAGCTGTCAGAGTGCAGCTTAGAGATTGGTTGCGGCCCCCATTTTTTAGTGGTGCTAATACGTTCCGGCGCGCAGCTTCCACGGGAGTCAAAGCACGCGTCGGTTCGTTTCGATGCGTCGATGATCAGGCCGTTTTGTTGATCATCTAGTCTTGCTAGCAATAAGGGTTATCTACTACGTGCAGCAGCTCAAAAATATGGCAAGGAAGTCGCTACGGAGCCTAGACTCCGCCCACTGGCCACAATGACCCCCTACTTTAATTCCTATCTGCCATGGTGGTGCGGCTGTTCCGCAGCTCTTTCTCTCCATTTCGATGGTGAGTGCTGAGGTGGTTAAGGAGAAGAGTGATCTGTCATCAACGAAGTGAGCGAGTTCATCGTGAATTTCGTTGTGTTAATTTACCATCTGCGTCGTGTAGTATCTGAGGATCCGAATCACCATCATGCGGCGTGCCTTTATGTAACAGTCACCATTCGTTGAAGACCAATACATTGCCTGCCTCGAGTGAAACATCTTCGGTTTCCTGGCGTTTATACCAGCGCGAACATTGGCGCTTAACAAAGACTTCTTACTGAGGAAATGTCAAGTCTCCCCAGCTTCCACAAGAGCGGCTCTACAGGATTTCGTAGTACAAAACTGTTCAAGAAGCACCCTTCACTAGTGGGGGATGGTTTCAAACTCTGAAAACTTCCACAGCACTGCAATCCACATCCTCTGCAGGGACCACAGAGAAGACGTCTAGCCACCCACTAACGAAAAGTCGGGAGCATCGAAAATTTTTTCATTTTTTCTATGACATCTTGGCTCCAAAGATGTTACTGGACTTCTGTTCAAAGCCTAATACTTCGAAATAAGATAACAAGTTTCTGTGAGTTATGCGTGTATATAATATGCCACAAATCAATCTCTATAAACATACCTGTGCTCGGAGCCGCCAACGAAGAAACCTTGCCGTTTCGCCACCATCCGACTCTTCACCACTGTCGTGATCATCTTTTGGCATATTATGCAATGTGCGGATACTTAAAGTTTAAATATTAGATCCGAAATAACATACAACGAAGAAATAGCATTTTGTAGATGAATTTGAAGAGAATAAGATAGAAAAAACCACAAACGTGTACTTCTGCTCATGGACCGAATCCGAAACAAGTAACTGCAAGCTGAAAAAAAGATAAACGTTTTGTATATCAAACAAGCGAACATTGGAGTCTTAAACAAAATCACACTATACAGAAAGTGTTAAACGAGAACGAGAGCGATGACAACTTTATAAAATAGGCGTCGGAGGCGTGCTCGGATGAAATTGCACAGAAAGCGCGCTAAAAGACGTGATTATGATTTAGGCATAGTTTTTGGGTGTGTGGTGATTCTATCGTCGGGTCGTCGCGCCGGTGGGCGGAGCGAGGCGGCGTGGCGGCCGCCGCGTACGAGTTTTGTTGCGTGGCGTTCAAATTGTTAAAGGGTCGACGATCCCTTCAACAATTTGAAAGAGGCACAGCTCGCTGGCCGTTGTTCCAATGACAACTCAGGAGTACAGTTATGCAACACCGGGATTGTTGCGTCGCGGCGTGCCGCGCAGCGACACAGCGCGGCGTGTGCGGCGTCGCCTGACTTGCAGACGATAGAATCGCCGCGGGTGCCCATCTTTGTTCACAGTCTGCGGTCCAGCGTTTCTCTGAAACGCGGCGGTTCGGCGAAAAGCTTTCGATACGTATCGACTGGCGGTTGGGCGAAGAGTCTGGCGGTTGGCGAAAGGGTTTGAAGCGCTTTCCGCCAAACCGCACATTTTTCGCCTTCCCCGATCAAAACGCTGGCTCCATCGCGGTGGCGTTTTTTTTCGCCGCGAAATCGATATACGCATCATTATTGCTTTTTCGCACCACCGACGGGCGTTCGGGGCGAAGGCAAGAGCGTTGGTCGAATTACATCCGATTCGGATGACTATTTTTTCTTCGCGCCACCAACCCTGAGTCCGCAATCTGTGAAAACCGCCTTACATCATCGTGAAGGAGGGTAGACGGCATGGCACATCTAATCCTTAAGGAGTCCCAACAGGGGCTCGTCTATCTGTCCCGGAGAGGGGGGGGGGGGGAGAGAGGGAGTCTTATTAGGTCTGAGAGTTTTTTTCTGATAGTTGATTTTTCTTTCGGACGCCATAAGGGAAGGGCTCGTATTTGCCTTCTGGGAGAGATTTGTAGGAGAATCTTTCCTGGTTCTTACTTCTCGCGGTTTTTCCTGTTTCACATGGTTGTATACCCCTCCGTTCGCTAATTTTGGCGAAATGGGAAAATTTTTGGAGATTCCCGGAAGAACTGGGAAAAGTGGTTTATAGGAAGGAGGTAAGGGCTTCACATTCTCCTAGCGGTTTTTACCGTTTTACATGTGCTATAGCCTTCCCATCCGCTCGGCTGCTCGATCTTATCAAAGGGAATCAGGTGGTCGGATCAAGCCAACCACTAGGAGGGGGTCGTACGGACTCGACTGTAATCTCCAACTAGTGATGCGTTCCACCTAAGGCCGGGTGCAACGGTTTGTCCACAAATCAGCACAATCTTGAAACATTTTGAAATTCACGGACCTTTTCATATTTGTCAAAGCTCATCGTCAGCAAAGTGCTATGTGTTGCCGATATCAAAAGTGAAAGTTGGATTTCACATTGTTCATATGGAGTTGGGGTAAGGGCGTTAGTTGTGAGTACTGGGCGTGGGGACTAGGCGCGCGCACGTCTCTGAAGCGCACTGAACACCCACCTCCGTGGTTCTTGATCCTTGCCGTGTGCGGGGTAAATGGGTCCTCACCTACAGCAGTGTCACAATTCCGTTAAATGCACGGAGGCGGGGGCTGGGTCTAGGGGCAGACACAGTTTTTTTGATTCGGCACCCCGCCTTGTTTTGTTTCGCACTCGCGTCTAACGGTAGTCTTTTGAAACGAGTGCCTTGACACATCCAAGACGTTGTACGCGTGCCTGATAAGCTTCACCAGGCCGTCCTCCTCCTGAAAAGAGCTCGCGCCCGGCTCGGACGGCATACCTTTAACTGCTTTAGCAGACACAATCCTCTGTTGGTCTGCTCTGCGACGAGCGCAGATCCTAGTTGTCACGTAACCGCGTGACAGGAATGATACCGTCTCCGGTCCTACTGTCGCGCGCTGAGCGCGGTGAACAGTGAGCCACATAACATAACGTGTGACTGTGTTCGCCTGGAGATTCTGGTAGAGGTCTCTGTGCAAGTGGCGAGCGACCGTTTTGGGGCAAAAGCGAGAGAAGTCGGAGCAGGGCACATCATCAAATAAGAGAAATCAAAACAAGGTGGGTCGTATTTTGGCAAAGGCTGGGCAGGGGTGAGGCGACTCGGAACACAGTACCCCAATACGTTCACTAAGCCTCTTTCTTTCCGCTGTCGCGTAGCCTTTCAGCGGAGAAGTGTGTGATCTGCATTTTCTTATTGCAGGGGCAGACGAACCCATGCCGCTTTTATATCTCTTGTTCTTAATAAGGTTCCACGGAGGAGAGAATGCAGTTTGTCTTCAAGAAGAGTTGGAATTGATCTCTGACAAGAAAATCGATGACGGTATACACAAAAATGTTAAGAATCTCAGAGGCAACATCTCTCCTGGCGGTGTTCGTTTCATCTTTAATAGCATGAACTTTGCCTCCTAGAATATAGTGACACACTCGCATCATAAAATTGAAAAAGTGAAAAGATAGTTGAGGGGGGGGGGACGCGATGTGATCATGCTGCTTGCGAATATACCTGTTCGTGTCCTCTCATCGAATAAAGGAAATGGCATACCTACCCACAGGATACAGCATCGTTGTGTGAAACAGATGGGTGATCGTGCTTGGTCGCTGGTGGGGATCGTATTTGGTCGTTGTTGGGAGAGGGGTGGGGTCATATGTGCCCCTGAAAGAAATTTGCCGCATTGGGAAAGAAATTTTCCAGTTGGCTTTTCGCGGTTTTTTCTGTTTTCCAGTTTACCCTTCCCCCTCCTCCCCCCTTCTAGTTGGTGGCGCCGCCAAAGTTCTATGCAACAACTAGTTCCGAGAGTTTGGAAAACAGTAACTGGTTCCTGACGACCTCCGTTCCCCCTCCCCCCCCCCTTCCTCCCTCTCGACGGAAAACTTTTTGGATGAAAAACTGGAAAATGTGGGAAATTTCGGAAAACTGGTAGGAAGCTGGGAACTTGTAGGAAAGTGGTAGGTAGGGGGAGAGGAAGGGGGTCGTACTGACACCACCATTTCACACATCATGCTGTACCCTGCATCATAGAACCCTGGAAAGACGGTAAAGGCGTGACGCGTTACAACGTGGCATAGCCTCAGGAATCTACAGTCGTTTTCGTCGGGGGCTGGTTTTGGCGCAGAGAGAGAACGAGGAGGCGTCAGCACATTTTCCACCAGCTGCACTTGCTTGCCAGTTTCAGCGATCGGTAGAGAAGGGGCTCGCGCCCATCAAGCTCCTCCCCCACTGTCCCCTGACTTGTCCCAGCGGTGAGCAAACGACTGTACTTTTGCCCGAAAAA